AAACTACTTACAATTCCCTTGTGATAGTTGTAGATCGCTAGAGGTTAATTACATTTTCTATGATGAACGCTCTGTCAACCTGGTACATCGGTCTTGCAAATGAATCTTGGTGACCTTTCCTCACAGGCAAACATATTGGTGACCGTATGCATTGTTTCCGATGCATCCTTTTCACGATCGCTTCTTTTACTGCCCCATCTTCTCAGCGATACCTTTTACATAGGAGTCCGTAGTGCGGTGGTAATGAAGCCTTTCATTAGGAATATGGTGTCAGTTCCACTCCACCCCTGGCTCGTGAACACCTTCGCCCCTCCGGGGTCTGGAAGTTGGCACCGAGCTTATCTGGGAATACTTCACTGCTTGCGATCTAAGTGGAATTCTCTAGCCCGACTATCCCAAATTCCGATGGGATTCGACTCAAGCAAGTTTCAACGACATTGATAGTCATGCGACATGCAATTTTGGGTGGATGCCTTGCCAGGCGACGTTTAATATTTTTCCACTCACGCTATGTATTGAGTACAAGGCGAAAAATTCCGCCGTGGGATCTTCGCGAAGCACATGTGCTTTTATTTGGTTCCATTTGCGCAATAAAAACATATTACTGCACTCCTTCTCGGAAACAGTCTATGCTTTTGGATTCAACCATGCGGCAAATCTGGTCCGTTAAACGATTTTTTATTTCCTGCAAGTTTTAGATCTATGTTTGGAGAGCTATGGAATAGACCTAAAGACCGCAGTAAGGACGCAGCAGGACGCAGACGCAGTCGAACCCATACGCGATAAGTTCGAAGAGCTTCGTGGATGATCGGCATAGTAGATATGAAGATGAGTCGTGTAAATCAATAAATGAATAAAAAAGTGCAACGGACCCTTTCAGAGAGATTCTTTGTACATTCTGCTGTTTCCTTAATAAATATCTTTTCCAAGAATGCCGACTCCTTACTATTCTATATGAGGTCTCATAAGTGCACTCGGCAAATTTTCCCCTATCGGCTGCAAAAGAACATGCTTAATGAAAACGGTACTCTTTATTTTAAATGTATGTTTTACAATTTCCTGCTCTACTTTGAGGAACTGATTCGATGTACTTTCGCAGAGTCAGTTATTTAGAAGTAACTGATGTGATTTTGTTTCTATTCTTATGCAATCATAACTAAGAGAGGTGATTAGTCGAAAACAGAAGGAATACAAAAATTTAGATGCTTCTATGTGAAGATGGTTGTGTAGCTTTTGCTGCTCAACGACATTCTCATCACTGTGGCATCTATCAGTTCGATGGAAAAAGTGATATCGAAGGGCCATTAGATTGAAAAGGCATTACCTGATGCAGTTTAACGGTTTCAACGACCATACTTGATCTCTAATATTCTGCGGCACCAGTGCTCCGAGAAAATCAACTGCGGTTGTGTAACTGTAAATTGTTTTACAGTAGAACTATCGTCTTTCTGGAACATGACGATGAAGAACTGCTACCAAACTGGGCTTTATGATAACTGTGAGATATTCTTGGTTTGTTTTCTAAGACCAATAAAATGCACTTAACGTGGTGGCCACACTTTACAATCCCCAGACAGGTCATCGAATGCTTGTTGAGTCATTGCACAGGCCTGCTTCTCTGTAGGAAGATCGCAGATCCGATCCGCCAGTCCGAACGAATTGCCGCTAAAAGCGATTGAGTATTTTATGCTTGATTCTCATTACTCAACTCATTTACGCTTCATTTTATAATCACTAATTTCAAATCCTGGTAACTTGTTAAGGAAAGAAGCTGACCAAGAATCATATGAGAGAACAGAATGATTCTTAGCATATCCCGACACTTCAGTTCCTATAACAAAGCCAATCATGAATATGTTGAATCAAGGAGGCAATGCTCTACTGTTTCACCGTCTCATGGCAAATATTTTTACTCCAACATTTCCAGTTTACATAGATGATTCGGTATAAAATGAAAGGCTGATATTTTTGGGTAGGCTTCCCCGAATCGCACCTTTTCGCGTACTGGCGACGACATGCAATTTTGGGTGGATGCCTTGCCAGGCGACGTTTAATATTTTTCCACTCACGCTATGTATTGAGTACAAGGCGAAAAATTCCGCCGTGGGATCTTCGCGAAGCACATGTGCTTTTATTTGGTTCCATTTGCGCAACAAAAACATATTACTGCACTCCTTCTCGGAAACAGTCTATGCTTTTGGATTCAACCACGCGGCAAATCTGGTCCGTTAAACGATTTTTTATTTCCTGCAAGTTTTAGATCTATGTTTGGAGAGCTATGGAATAGACATAAAGACCGCAGTAACACCTAGCATGGAGCAGAAATATCTCACTATTAATCCAATCACTTTTTATTTACTACTTGTTCACTTTTCATGGTAGGGTATGATGTGAAGTATGACCATAGTTGGGTATTGGGAAGTGGTAATAGCGTGCTCGATCCCCACCGCAGACGCATGCGGTGCGGAGTTTTGTAAATATCTCAGCATCATTGTGGCTTTATCTCAATATTGTTTCAGATTATTGAGCTAACACGAGGTTAGTACAAAATTTTTTTTTCGGCCCATGTATCGACGCCTTCGTCCGTCTTCTTAGGAGCTGGGTTGAATCGAAATCGATGGCCCACATGTGGTCATCATTGCGAAGTAGATGTTCGTTGTCGCATCCAGTCGAAAACACTGCAGCACCACTCGTATGAGGAACCTCCCTGAGAGGTGATCCCCTATACAAGACGGATGTTGACCTGCTGCTACCATCACAAATGATGTGCTTTTTCGGCGGTGGTGCATCCCAGAGCAGTCGTTATTTCTTCAGCTGACACAGCGTAGAACTATTTTAAAAACCAAATTAAAATATTTCAATAACTGACTAGGGATTCCGACAGCATTTGTCTCATCGAACAGCTGTATCTACATGAAGGCAATAGGTTGACGGCGCTAATAAAAGTTGATTTTTAAGACATCTCAGACACACAGAGGAACGCAAGTGAACGCATGTCTTATGGTGACGTATATCTCAACGAATATGACGTGGATAACAGCAAGTTTCTTCTCTTCTACTAGCAATGGATAAAGAAAACGCAGAGCGGGGGAAAAAAACAAGATGGCAAAACCAGGCACATATAGTACACTGGAATAAAAATAGTTCATAGGAAGAGATTGAGCCGATGATTTGTGTGAGCTCGTGCGTAGGATCATGACCATTCTTTTTTATTTGGTGAAATGCTTTTTAACGAAATTTAAATCCACTTTCTCGTTAGAAGGACTGTCTTCCTAGAACCTTTCTTAAGCAATGGTCATTAGACAGAAAACGCCCGAGATGTATTATTGTATGTTATGCATGCGTGGTGGCAGAGTGAGCAAAGTTTATTGCATTCTACGTGGGTTTATTTTACCACTCAGAGCTTATTTTCCGCATCCTTTGTATTCAGTGGAAAGCTTATCCAAAACTTGTTCTGTAGGCCTTGTGAGTTAGAATAAACGGCTTTTTTGGACGAGTTCATTGACCAGTAGTTTGACTTGTAAGCGGTTGCTGTTATAAGTCAGGATTATCATTTGAAAATGGACTTGAAAGCACACTGGTAGCGATGCCGATCATCACGAACACGATAATGGTTTGATCCCGCTAAGGCTCACCAAGCCCTTCATCACTCTGGGGTTGGGAAGCTGATATCGGACTTTTCCGGAAAAAGAAATCGCTCTCTACAATCCCAGTAGATACATCTAGCCCAGATATCCAAGGACTCCACTTAGAATCGGCTCGACCAGTAGTCTACAACATTCCAGATAAAATGGTAATCCTCAATTTCGTGGATGCAAGAAATCGATCGAATTGGATGTGAGAGGCGTTGCAATCCAGACAGCAGATGTGAAAGACGGGTATTATAAAAATAAATGAAATTAATATCATGTGGAATGGGCTGCTATAAAAACACTGAATTAGGCATAACGTAGGTTGCAAAACACTTTGAATTGTTAGGAGAAAAGTGGTTGTAAGGTGGACCACAATAATACATAGAAAATACAGCAACAATGCCACAAATACCCTTAAAGTAATCTAACAAAGTCTCTTCTATAATGCTGTCATGTTCTCAGCCTACAGAATTTCAAAGAAATACCGCTTCTAGCCTAAAAACCAGGGAGTTCATAGTCGAGACGAGGTTAGGTATCGTTACCCACGCTAGTCACACCTTGTTAATGTTCGTAAACGCAAATGGTTACTGTTGTATATACGAAGTATGAAAGATAACAACTTCATCATGATTTCCTGTAGCAAACCAGTTCATTTGCTGAAGCCTTACATTGCGCTATAATTTGGAGACCTCGAAAACGAACAAATTTTCTGTTCGCCAGGAACCGAATAAATCACACATACCCAGGTTAGTGATATTTACACGACCTCATTCTTCACTAACTTGATGCTACCTAGCATCTACTAAGCCTTTTCGGCCTTAAGATATCCATACAAGGAAATCCCTGATAACAAACCCGGGAGTGTAGTCGCATCTCGGAGAGCAAGACACCTGCACGTTGCACATTCCGCAAGCATTGGCCGACTTGTTAAACATCTCAGCGTAGTCCATGACTTTCTGGACAATTGGATTACCAATGCCAGTGATTAACTGAAATTTGTTCACCAGTAGTAGGTTTCTCTTAAAATGCTGAAAATTGGTTTCAGAGTATAGTTCAAGAATGTGGAGGGGGCTTACTGTTGCCATCAACTTTGTCCCAATCACCTGTTACATTAGCGCATTCGCATTTTCGCAGTAACATAACAGTAATGTTCAACACATAGGCGAAGGTGTGCATTCTATACAATAATCATGCGTAGCGTGCCGAATGCTGATGTGAGCCGTGTAAGGAGCACATTCCTTCTGGCGGTGTATTTTGGCGCTCAGAATCTTTTTCCTATAATTCGCATATTATTTTTTTCCCTACTCCTTCCTGGTTTTCTTGATAAGGGTCATTACACACGACGTTATCATTATGTATTATTTATTTATAACAGCTGACATTTCGCCCGATTTCGCCTTCTTCAAGGCGTAGAAAGGTGAATGTCTTTTCTCAATATTTCCTATAACCTACCGATAACTTATGCAATGCGGATTTTAGGGTGTGTTTTGGATGAGAAAAGCTCTGCTCTGCACTTATAAGTATACAAAAAGACTTCTTGGACAAGTCCATTGATTGGTAGTTTGAAAAGCAACTGGCTGCTGTTTCAATTCGTATAGAAATACAGGAATAACTTGTAAAACACTTCAAAATGCTGACAGAAATGTGCTCGTATGAGAGACTACGATAATATACAGTAAATAGTAGCATGTATAGCACTCATACCGATAGAGCAAAGTCTCTTCTACATTCGTATATAATGCTGAGATATTTGCAAAACTCCGCACTGCAGGTGTATGCGGTGGTGAACGAACGCGCGCTATTGTGCTTACCGGGGAGTAGCGCACTTCACCACCACACCATTCGGGTCCTTCGCTTTGCCTGTCTCTCGGCTAGTTCTATTGATCTTTTGCCATCAGCAATCACCCGTCAACGGGATTGATCTGGGGAGTCGGCATTGAACCCAGTTAAGCTGAGGCTTAGTTATAATCACAATCTTAACCCTTTTATTTACTGCCTTTTTCTTTTCTTCTACATTCCTGTTATGTCCACAACTCCTCAGCTGCTCTAGTTAATGAAAAAATGCCATTTATTCCCAAAAACTCGCAACTTCATAGAAACCCCTGCAAACTCCATGAAAATTAAGCGTCATCCCAACCGTAGCGCATCGCGTAAATGTTAACGCCACCTGGGATTTTAAGTAATGGATGAAGGCAAACGAAGCAGTACGTCAGAAATGGTCCACAGAACATGTCTTTACTGTTTAGCGGTACATTCCCCTTAATAGGATAACATTTTTATTCGCTTTTTTTCTTGAAAGTTTAGAAATTCTAAAAAAGAAAAGGAGCTATGACAGTAATACCTTATGGATTGCGTCACACAACTACTTCTGTTTCATTTTTAACAGATCAACTCGTTGAAATTGACAAGTACTCACCGACATGTACCTATTCTGGTAGCACTGGCTTGGAAGACGGCTCCAGAATGTGCGATCCGAAGTGCTGCAAAGAATTCCCACGCACTGTTATTTTACCGTTTCATCGTTTAGCTTATAAATAATTTAGCGGCCAGACTTAATTTTGAGATATTTTAGATTCCAATCAGTTTTTCATATTCATACTTTATCTCACCTTTCCTATTTCTTGGACGAAAATTTGGTTTTCGAAGTAAAAGAGTTTTTCAACGTGCAAAACTGTTTATAAAAATTTTCTAACATTTAGGAACAAAAATACATACACTTACTGTTAGTTTAACAGTGCTTTCAATAGTTTTCCATATAACTGAACCGACGTGAGGTTGGTATAAAAACTTTTATCTGGCTAACGTTTTTGCGCTTTCGCCTTGCTCAGAGCTGCGTTGATCTGAGTTGATGATCTCATGCTGGTCGTCGTCGCTATGTGGGTCTAGCTCGAATCCGACCAATCATATGGAAAATTACTGATTATTGCTAATTGGCGTGTTTGGTGCAGTAGTCGGAAGCTCCCTGTGACATATGACATCACACTTAGGATCAATCCCCGCACCCGTGGCCCACCGAGCCTTCCATCCACCCAGGGTCGGCAAATTAGTACCAGACTTGTCTGGGATGATAGCAACACTGGATCGATACATCGGTAGGCCACCGCGAGTCTTTGTAGAGGTCAGATATGAATTCAATCACCTTCAACGATGCCTAATGAAGTCGAATGCATGACGCATCCCTCAGGAATTGATCAACGGCGGGAACTTCATCCTTTTTTCCTTACTGGTTTCGGTCACTAGCGAATTGGGCTTTTGAGAAATATGCTGATCGTGGTCGAACAAAGCATATCAAACTACAAAAATGTTTTTTCTGTTTGTCATATAACGGCAATTTTATCTTAACCTTTTTTATTTACTGCCTACTATATTTTTTTAACGACAGGGTAACATGTGAAATACAACTAAGATGATGCTGAGATATTTTCAAAACTCCGGACAGCAGGTGTCTGCGGTGGCGAACGAACGCGCTATTGTCCTTTTTGGGAAGTAACGCGTTCACCACCATACCATGCGGGTCCTTCGTTTCCCCGTCTCAGCTACTTCTATTGATCGGCGCCATCAGCAATCACCCGTCAACGGGACTGATCTAGGGAGCCCAAATCGGCAACTAACCTAGTTAAGCTGACACTGAAGTCGAAATCACAATCTCAACCTTGTTTATTTGCTGCCTACTATAATTTACTATAATTTTTTAACGGCAGGGTATCATGTGAAATACAACGGGTGATTGCTGATGGCGCCCATCAATAGAGCTAGCTGAGCGACAGGCGAAACGAATAACCCGCTTGGTGTGGTGGTGAACGCATTACTCCCCGGAGAGGGCAACAGCGCGTTCGTTCCTCACCGCAGACACCTGCGGTCCGGCGTTTTGCAAATATCTCAGCATAATCTTGGACGATTTTATCGTGTATTTCTTACATTTGCGGTTTCATAGCCATAGGATGCGCCAGGAATAATAAGGTCGTCCAGAAAGAAAATAGATGAACCTAGCGAGCACATAAATCAAAACCGAATTTCGAGCTGAAATCCGAAATGAAAAACATTTGTTCTAAACAATAGTTCCAGCGATTCTCCATCACTGAATCTTCTCAAGCCTTGAAACTACGTGGATGTCTGGTAACGTGGTTAGAAACCTTTAACTGCGAAGTTACAATAAGTCAGAGGGACACACATGGGAACGTCTTCTCGTCGGTTCTCCATTGGGCTGAGTTGCAGAACATACCTCTATGTATTGCTGAACAAGAAAACGACGCATTCATATTCCAATGCCGAGGTTGATAGAAAGTTGATCCTGGGAATTGTTACTTCTATATACCTCAGTCATATTGAAGTGTGCGGACTGTACTGTGCACGATGATTCTGCCAAAAGCTTAAATTCAAGAAGATGTGTTATTACTGGGAAGGTTGTGGTTGGCAGTAGAAGGTCACCTACAATACAAAAACATTAGGTCTACTGAAAGGCAACCGTGGGTATATTTTCGCCAACAGAAGTAAGAATAAAGGACGTCGGCGAACCATACCTATCAGGTATGATAATGAGAGGTATGAATAGAGAACTTAGTGGTATTTTATAGGAAGTGACTGTTGTCACTCGATGACTGATAAGATTACAGGTGATTTACGACCAGATCAAAGGCCCCTGTAGCGCAGTGGTTCGATGCGCTGTGCAGTACATGCGACTTCGGTTCGATACCGCGCAATGGATAAACCAAGCCTCCATGTCTCCAAGGTCGCGAAATTACTACACTTGCCCGGGAGAACCTACATAATACAGTGATGGTCTACATGCATACAGAAATCATAATCCAGTACCGCACAACAAGGCTGGAGAATTCTTTTTAAATTCATCAAGCAAAGGTGACCTTTGGAATAGTGCCTAACCCCTACTATTACCTGTATCTCCGCCATACAGGTGAATGACTGACCGTATGAGATAAAATGGAAGGGATTCATGGAAGCAGAAATATCACCCATAGCAAGCGTAGTCCTGTTAAGAATCGAGTGACTTGATTGGGCACTAGTAAACACCATCCTGTCTGCGCATCTAATGAGAACCCTAGGTTTCGCTCATTCGGTCAGAGGACACGAATAAGTCACAATTCAGGTAAGTCTATTCTTATATAAGCTTCTATGAGTGGTGCTCAAGCGTCGTTTTTCTAAATTACCCAGACAGTGATACCACAGTGTGCACAGGTCTTCAACACAGGAGGTCTTAAATTGTTTAGGATATGAGGATGCATTATTCCATTCGCCAGTCCTCAAAAACAGCCTAAATTGGCTTTACACACGTTACCTGTGAGAATGCAAAGTTTCTAATCAGTGCAAGACGAACAAAACCGTGTTATTGCACAGAAATGGAAGTTCATACAACAATCGCTTGGCTTGCATGCTGTATGTGTACAGGCTACATTCATACGATATAGAAAATCACTGAGATCGTTTCCCCTCACTCTCTACTTAAAAAAGGTTTTCGAATCAGATGTTATAGAAGCCATCATGGATGGCTCTGGACACCGAGAACATCCCTACCAAATACTTGGACATCCTCCATGAGCTATGTAAAAATTTCACAACCAAAATACCAACATTCTATGACGATGTTAATATCGACGTAAAGAAAGGGGTTCGACAACGCTATGCCATCTCACCGAAAATCTTTACAGCCACCCCCGAGAACGTCACGGGAAAATTGAAATGGGACAACATGGGAGTGAAAATTGACGGCTGGTGGGAATAATGTTATCTTCGCTTCGTTCTTATAATCGTTCTTATAACGTTAACCATGAGCCAGGCAAAATGAATGCTGGTCGAATTCGACAGCGCTCTTGAATGGATTGGTGTTTGATCCACGATGGTGAGGGGACAAATCTAAAGGTCGGACCCACATTAGCGATCAATGATTAGAAAGACCGGTGTGTAGACCAAGGTGTCGAAAATCAGCTAATCCAGATAAAATGTATCTTTTACGAAAACCGACGATAAGAGCCGACTAGGATGATACGAGAAGTGATCGCTGAATGCTTGACTTTTTTTTTTTACAACGATTCCAGTCTTTTCCTAAAAGGTATACCCTTGTGGTTTGATAGTGTGGTCGCTGCATCGTCATGTCTCTACTCACATGTGACACCCATCGCGGTAGAAATAGCTCTGTCAATTTTATAACTTCTCAATGTTATTTTGTTCGGATGCAGAGGGTGTCCTGATGTTTTTGGATAACCCTTCTCATGTATATTTTAAAAAAAACCATGCTAATAAAGGATGGCGCAAGTGAAAACTAGGAGATCTATCTGTTCGATAGATATTTGTACCAATTTTTCTTGTTTCTCTAATCTTGCGTTCTTTTTTCTGTACCTTCAACCACTGCTCACTTCATCTAGTGCGAATTCAAAGCAGCATAAAAGTTTTTTATGTAAAGGTTAAAAGGATGAAAGGTACGACATTCAGTCCCTGAGGGACACGCTATGCAACCAACTTCATGAATCATCGCTATAGGTGAGTGATGCATATCTGACTCATAAAATGGCTCGTGGTAGCTTATGGATCAGTGTTGTAGTGCTACACTCTTTTCGAAGAAGTCTAGTATAAATATGCCGACCCAGAGGGGTGGAAGGTTTGATAAGCCCAGAGTGCAGTGTCGAACCAACGACGACATGTGTATTGCAGGACAGCTCCAACCACTGCACTACACGCGCCTTTTCGCAAACATTTATTAAGACCTGTTGTTATTGAAATTTACGGTGCAGATAGGTTTTCGAGAAACAACACACAATAAATAGCGCAATATCATGTGGATATACACACTCACCTGCGGTTCGAAATTTTTCGCCATTTCGGTGTAGTTTCTCAAGACCAGCTCTTTTAGGCGAGCAAAACGTTAAGCTTAATGAGTACTGACTTCGTTATTGTTCGTTTCTCGATAACCTCTTCCTTATTTTTCCGACATACGCAATTCCATACAGCTCTGCCTCTGCAGGTTTTCTGTTAAAGTCTAACAGTGATGTTTCCTTATACCCCGGAAAGTCCTCTAATAATCTCGCGGACTTCATTCTCCTAATCGGTTCTATTAAGAATATGCTTAGAACAACTCAGTTTATTTTCATACCCTTCAAATCCTTTTAATAGCCTATATTCAAGGATTCACCGAACTTATTCTTCTTGCGCAACTATTTTTGATCATGGTGCTGCTGTCAAGAAAGGTTTTCCGATCGATCATGTGGGGAGTTATGTATTTGAAACAGCTGTCTCATTATAGTGATATAACACTAGGCCGTATCGATCTGAATTCTGTAAGTGGATCGATACAGTGTTATCCAAGCTGATAAGAAGCTCTACACTCCAGTCAAAAGGCCAGCTGAGAGTAGACCGACGTTCGGAGTCGCCGCCATTCTTACAGAACGGTAAATCGGCAAATCTACCCTTGCAATCACTAGTTTGTGGCCACACGAGGTGACGACGAGGGAATACGGTAGTGAAATCAGCAATTCATGCTACTGATGAGAGTCAGATTTATTTTGCTCAAGACGAACGGTGAAAAGTGTCTATAGGAGAGCGGAAAACCAAAACAATTATCGACGCGATGGGGACAGATTATTGGCCCGTGATCGAGGACTATCGTAGTTACTTAAAAGAAACGCAAAAACTACTTTGACCATACGAGGTAATACTTTATCACATAGCTTCTTAGCAGTTCAAAATGTTATCACAGAGGCATTAAGATTTATACTTGCTCACTTCCAAAATAGCATTCTGTATTATTATTACTATTTTCAGGCAGTGTAAATTTAGAAACGAACACTCTGTTAAACGCACTTAGAAAACACTTCGCAGATTTAAGTGAACTGCTAGCTGTTCACTCGTGAAACTGATTTCGCAGACATTGTCCAGAAACAAAAGAACGACGAGGAGCTTTGAGGAAGAAACCATCACATAGGACAGTACCCATGAAAGTGACAGAATGACGTGCTGAGAAATCGGATCTACTGTGCAATAAGGAGAATCGAAGCATGCACATTTAACTGAACATGATAAATAAAGAATTTTTAAAAGTGTGAAGCCGAAAATCTCTCAGCAGAAGGTATCCCTATCGCATGCTATTCAAACTTCTCTACATGAAGAATAAAATTAACAGAAACACGCTTAGAACGGCTGAAAATGAAACGAGAGATATGAATCGTTAGCTATAGCATGTCATGTGATCCGACGCAACAGACAACAGATTGAAAACCGATGAAATAACTGATTTAAAAGTGAGACAGCGGCCAAGTGGAGCACCTTCTTCTATAAAATTACTGCCCAAGATATTTTAGATGTAGAATTCCTAGCTTCTTCTGACTGCTCATTCTCACAAAATGGACCGAAACATGTGCAGCGAAGTCATGTATTCTTAGTTTTACGATATTACGAATGACCTTTCTTTTATCCTTTAGGTAAGATGATATTGTAACTTTACAAAGCGTAAAAGTTTATTTGGCATAATGATAGCGTCGAAAGGTCTCAGCGTCAACTTCCGCTTTCTTTTACCTGAAACAAGGTCCATATTCGCTCCAGTTCTTACAGTTCGATGTCTTTCCAGCTTGGGAAACCGAGGAGAAAGCGCTTGCGAGGAATGCATTTGAAAATGGAATGAAGCTGACAAATACGAACGCTTTCAGTAACATAACCAGAAGAACAATACATGCGTGTTTTACGCACGACTGGAATCCGAAAACAGGTTTCTGAAGGGCGGAAGGAGAATAGCAAATGGACAGAAAGATAAGAATCAGGAAAGCGCTCATTGGTGACATCACTGATACTACTTCCTTTTCGAAACCCATTACTTCGCCGAATCTAGGAATTGAACACGAAGGTGGCGGTAAACCTATTGTTCACACCGTCCTCCATAGTGCCTTTACAAACGATCTTCCTATTTTCAGTATTCAGTGCAACACACCGGTATTCATGCAGCAGTTTGATGCTCCACTTATTCAAAGCACATAGTCATCCAACGACACTTCTATACTCTCTTTACATGAAATCGAATACTTCAACTAAGAATCAGATAGTTTTTTCTGTAATTACGCGCAATCCGAGCGCATATGAGGATGTCTCATCATTCGATGAGGACAAATTTCCTCAAGAAGAGTAGATCCTCTTAGGAACTATAAGATGTGTTTCTCAGAATCATGGATTATGACATATTCCATTCCATCCTATGATTGCCATGGCCCTGTTAAGAACAATGAATCTCCTTCCAGAAAAGAAAACTGCAGACACCAACAATAAAAGTACTTTGCTATTGCATGTAAACACTTATTAATGCAAATGGAAACAAAGATATGAAGTCAAATGCCAACGAGCATGGTAAAATCGTGGTGAATTTCGCTAAGTGAGCCCAATAAAATAAGAAATGAAAATTTGAAATCCTTTATTTGGAAGCCTTATTAAAGCACGTACTGTAAGAAAAGTCAACTCTTCCACTACGTTCTAAGGCTCCACTTTTACGTGACCCGTAATCGCTCAGTTTCTGGTCCTGGTTTCCCAATAACGTCACTAAAGTACGGAACAGTGCGCAGAAAGTCCATGATTCGTTGTTTAAAAGTGGGCTTAAGTTGTATAGAAATAAGCAGCTCTCGAGCAAAATCTGGATCGCTGTCCAACGTATTGAATATCCTGAAACATTTCGGTTCTCTCAGTAAACTATCCAGCTTTTCACACAAACTAAACTGTATCCTAATATTTGAAACACAGGCTTGTAACGAAATATTGACCATCGAATCACATGTGGCACTCTAGTCGCTTACGTAAAGTATACAACCATTTTTCCACTAAATGTGGCATAGTCTACGTAGTGATTAATAGGCAATGGTAAAACGGGGAATGATAACATGATTTAAAGCTAAAAAGGAAATCTGTCAAATATTTTAAAAAAGTCGAAAATAAGGGACTGATTTAAACTAAGGCACTCACAAAGCCATCTAATCTAATAACACCACTGATTTACAAAGTACTGGAAATATAAGGAAACAATGCAAAGGAAATCACCGTTCTCGTCCCCACAATAAAGCATAGGTCGAAAGAGCAGTGATAGCCGCTTGTAATGGAATAAGCTTAATAAGTAGTGATCTTGCGGAGCGACTTCCTGAAATTTATTAATGAGTGTAAAGGCAACCGATGAGTTGTTTCAACATCCCATTAAGAGGAATAGGTGCAAGATTTCTGGTTGCTGGGCTAGGATATATTGCTGAAGTTTCCTTAAGACCGATTCTACCAACATCGGCAATGAACAATATGCTTATGCGTTTCGGACAACACAACATTTACATAAATAGGATAAACAAACAGCAATTAATGAGACACTAATTTAATAATGACTGAAGTTTCATCAGCATTCCATTTCCTCAGAGTCTCGAAAGAGTAGTACCCTGCAGCGATCAACGGAAAGGCGTTAGTCCTTCACAATGATATTGGATATTGAGCGGCGACATGTCAAACTATTGACCATTCACAGGTTGAACGAGCTCGATTTCTCTGCTTCAAAAGACGTACCCACCAGAACTCTCGTCCACCAATTCCCATTTCTTCAAGCAACTCGACAACTTACTGTGCAATAAATGCTTCAGCAACCTAATCGAAAACGAGAGTACATTCAGCAATTTCATCGCCTTCAGAAGTCCAAAACATTGGCAATTGATACGGGTGAACTTCTTAATCACTGGCAAAAATTTGCAGATTCTAATGGTTTTTATTTTCACTAGTTAAGTCTATTCTGAGTTGACATACACCACTTTAAAAATACAAACTGAAACTCGCCATTAATTTCCGAATAACTAATACATGTACTTCCCCTCAACGGTTTACCGCCTCAATGTGACTGGGTAGGTGTCGAGATGCGATGTACAGCAAAGGGTTTCGTACCTCTAACAGAGCCTCCCAAGTTGAGGAGTCCGGAATTTCGATCAGGAAGCCCATCTAAGAGTGAACTAATAACACCACCAACACCACTATCCTGGTCTTTGGTCTTCTAAGAAATACTTCCATATGGGAAAGCCCTGGCGCAGCCACCTCAGGAAGCCGAAAAAAAACTCAGCCAATATGGAGCAACACTCAGAAGACCAAAAATCCCCAGGTAGAAGCCGAACCCACACCCAAAATCCGGAAACCTGCATAGAATATGAATGCGAGAAAATGGATCAAAATCAGGAGCTGCTGGAATTCCCACCATGTTTGACGTCGGGTTGTATGAAAAAAAATACCATTATCTCTGCCTATTGACTTATGTGTACATGTATACATTTTATATACAGACGTACATATATTTGCACACATATACATATGCGTATATAAAATACAGAAATAAAAACATGCCTGTCCAGCTAAGCGTGAGGAAGTCGATGTAGTTTTTAACAACAGGATACCTATTGGAATCCCTTTGAAGTAACTAAAATGGAATTGAAAAGGAAAAATAAGACATCAAGTAAGACGAAAACGGAATGCTATATTACGAAGAACAGCGGGAATTGAAGATTTGAAAATCTATTCACTAAATTTAACGAAAACAGGAAAAACGTCATAAATGGTATGAAACAGAAAACCTACGATGTAGTAGCAAAGATAAGGAGTTGTGAAAAAGGGCAGGGCGATACCACTTGCCAGTGAGATCAACACACTCCCACTGAGCATGCATGAACTGCATGGCCTGTTCTCATTAAAGACATGTGGAGTGACCAATATCTGAAATGGAGAGATAGTTTACAAGGAAAACTCACTCTAAGCAGCGACTCAACGCACTAGTAGCCCACTATCGCAACCGAATAACGGGAAATAGGTTGGAACCATTTACTTAGAATGAGTAGGCCAGACCAGAATAGGTCAACGTCCAAGCCCTTGTACAACGCCCATTACCCCTAAACGAAAAGTACGAGTAACAATGCTTTTCGTCTATTTTAAAAACTGACGTTTGCCCCATACGGCCAATTTTTCCGCCTCCTCTTTAGGGCGATCTATGCCGTTTAAGCAGTTGAATGAAAAGTGGGAATACAGGAAGAAAAAAGTCCGATTTTCCAAAATTACGCTGAAAGTGATCAATCTGCACTAGCCGCATAATTACAACTGTGTTTTGCCATTTTTTCTGAACGGTTTACCACCTCGTTGTGGTTGGAAGGTGTTTCTGGGTGTCAGCCTGCGTTGTACAGCGAGGGGATCCATCTCGCAGTAGAGCCTCTCAAGCTAAGAAAGAGTCCAGCGTTCCCATAAGGAAGCCCAACTAAAGGTGAACCTGTACCAAGATCCACCACAGTTCCTGGTATCAAACTAGTCGCATGGTGGCAAATTCCCACCTCCCGATCCGATTCACAAGGGCGGCTACTGCTTGTGGTGGTGACGACCTCAGGACTCCAAGGAACCACAATGGCTAGACTAGCAAAAATCCGAGAGAATGGAAATTTGCTCGCACAACCAATGAAGACGGGCCTTTAAAGCAAGTTTTGAAACTAAGGAGTATTAAATAACTACACAAAATATTACATGACTTTATTCAACAATATGCCATGGACCCAATTAACGAGCGTTGTTGGACACTACTGAACGAAACTCAAACGAAAAAGAAATATATCCTCAACAGTACGAGAAGCTGAAAAGTTCGGAGCTATACCCGGTCGATCGGGTTAACAAATGACAATGAATAAACACACCGTAACATGGAGACTTAGGGACAGTAGAGCATAGCGTTACATAAACATAAAAGTTCTAGTCTCTCATTAACTAGCTATGCCATCCGCAACAATTAAGGGAAGGGTTACATTGGAAACTGAAGTTCGGATAAAACGAAGGGCAGACAAAAAGCATATATATGTGTATATATGTCTGTATGTAATATTATATATATATATATATATATATATATAT